GTGCTTGTTGTCCATGCATACATCTTTTTGAGAGAAGTGTATATTCAACTTATTTTCCCGTTTTTTAATATGATTTTTATTTTTAACCAAGAAATACCTTTTAAGTGATCAGACCTGGAACCTTGCCAGGTTTAATGATTATCAAAGCAGAGCCATATTTTGACTTTTGAAGTTATCTATTATTATAGTCTTATTTTTCATAATTACTTGAATATTATCAGCATCTCTGGACCCTTTGTACTTAAAACATAGTATTTTAAATCTTTATATTGAAATATTCAGTACGTCTTGAAAGTTTTAATATAGAACACTCTACTTTGCATTTCTTTATATCCTAAAATGCAATTATAAAAAGGGTGTCATTTCCTCTGCCAATTAAGTAGCCTTCATTGGTTGATATTGAACAAATTGCTGATACTTGTTTCTGTCATGTTTACTTTTTTAAAAAAATATTTTTTGCTTTCTTGTTGATACTTCCAAACAATTGCTAGGTTAATTTGTCAGTTGCAAATGTGAAATAAAATTTTCTTTAGCAGTCTTTCAAATAAAATTTTCGTTGAGACTGAAGAGATACTGGATTACAATCAACATTTGTAGATATGTCATATATAGAGAACCAAAAAAAATTATAAATCTGATATAATTATCAGTGTGCCATATGGACATGGCTCATGCCTGTAATCTCAGCATTTTGGGAGGCCGAGGCAGGTGGATCACTTGAGTCTAGGAGTTCAAGATTAGCCTGGGCAACATGGTGAAACCCCATCTCTATAAAAAATACAAAAATTAGCCAAGTGTGGTGGTACACACTGTAGTCCCAGCCGTTTGGGAGGCTGAGGTGGGTGGATCATTTAAGCTCGGTAGGCAGAGGTTGCAGCGAGCCGAGATTGTGTCTCTGCACTCCAGCCTAGGTAACAGAGCGAGACCCTGTCTCAGAAAGCAAAACAAAAACACCCAAATATCAATGTGCTATGAGACCTCATATTGTATGTGTTCATTCCCCCAAATTGGAGCATTTTAAGAAGCAAGAAGAGTGCTCTAAATTAGTTTATATCTTGCTTTTCTCCTTATGTTCTGTAGATTCTTTAGTACTCCATAAGAAAAATTTGCTCTAGAAATCATGAAAACTGCAAATGCGTTATATCCTCTATGAAACCACTTTTAATTTAGTTGATAAACCCTGATCATTGTTGCACTATACATTCAGAAAATGTATAGCAGTGACTATTTTGTAAATATGAAGAGTTCATATTCAGCACATTCAGCAATGGCTTATATCTAAAATGGTTATTGAAGAATACTTTAAAAAATGTCTTTGCCTAGAGTCTTTAAAGCTGGCACTTTAAAACTATGTTTCATGGATTGTCAGTTGGAATGGACTTCAGGAGGTCCGTAAGTCCATGAAATTACAGTTTTTTAACGTGTGAATTTTTCTGAGGATACATAATTTTTATCATATTCTCAAAAGAATCTAAAACTCAAAAAATGATTAAGAGCCACTGATATAAAATGTTGATAAAGGCCATGGTGGATCACATTATACATTGATTCTCATTCTTCAGAAGCTTTGCATGTGTGAGTTTACCTGCTCACTAAAATGTACTTGTAAATCCAAAACCAGTACTCAGGGTGCTTTTATAGTCATTTGTAGACATATGTGGAGAAGCAAAAAATTTGAGTCACCTTATGTGTTCATTCCTCTCTGAGGTCAAAGAAGGTAATGGTTTGCCTTGTTGTTTCAACTGTCATACTGTAAACAAGTGTCCTTTTCAATGCATATATAGTGACATATTAATCACATTTTTTTGTTGTTGATTTTTCTGTTTAAAAAAATCCCGAGCATAGTGCAGATATGCTGTCTAGTGTTTCTAAGCATAAGAAGGCTGTGACACACCTTAGAGAATAAAAGTCTGTAATAGACAAACTTGGTTCAGGCATGAGTTACATTACTGTTGACTGTGAGTTCATTGTTAATAACTCAAATATGAAGTATCAATGTCTGTATAAATAGTTAAATATAATTTTATATAGATATAAATATAAATCATTAAAATACAGAATCTTTAAACAGAAACATACATTTTAGAAATTATGTATTGGCATTGGTTGACAAAGATGTTGTTTGGAGAGGTTTGCAGGAAACTAACCCTGTCTTTTTCCCAGGAACAATAATTCTGCAGGAGGCAGAACCTGTTTTCCAGGTTGGAATACAGTGGCATGAACATGGCTCACTGCAGTTTTGACCTCCTGTGCTTCTTCTGCCCCAGCTTCCAAAGTAGTTCGGACTACAGGCACATGTCACCATGCCTGGTAATTTTTGTATTTTTTGTAGAGACAGGGTTTCTCTTGCTCAGACTGGTCTTGAATTTCTGGGCTCAAACAGTCCTCCCATCTTGGACCTGCAAAGTGCTGAGATTAGAGATGTGAGCCTCCATGCCCAGCTCTAGTTAACCTTTTGCAGTGTTTTTTTGTTTTTGTTTTTTTTAACTTAATGTTTCTAAATTCCTTCTAGGGTAAACATAGAAATTTCTTCTAGGCTAATACATAGAGACTCGGTCATTTATCACTTCATAGTATCACACATCAGATACTTCTGACATAACCATGATAAATGTTAGTGGTTTCATGGTCTTATTTACACTCCAGCTCTACCAGAATTCACTAATCTACTTCAGGTTTCTGTCTGAAATACTCTCTTTTTTCTTTTCTTTTCTTTTTTTTTTATACAGAGTCTCACTCTGTTGCCCAGGCTGTAGTGCAGTGGCCCCATCTCAGATCACTGCAAACTCTGCCTCCCATGTTCAAGTGATTCTCCTGCCTCAGCCTCCCGAGTAGCTGGGACAATAGGTGCACACCACCACACCCAGCTAATTTTTATATTTTTAGTAAAGACGGAGTTTCACCATGTTGGCCAGATGATCTGCCTGCCTTAGCTTCCCAAAGTGCTAGGATTAACAGGCATGAGCCACTGCACCCGGCCTCTGTCTGAAATATTCGTATTGTTCATCATACAGTATATTGGGCTATAGTACTGTATTTTGCTCCAGGGTGTTGATAACCATTTATGCTGAGTTTAGCCATTTTACTTAAGAGTCTACTAATTCATTGTAGGTAAAGAGTTACTAGTTTGGCATGGTGGAGCATGCCTGTAATCCCAGCACTTTGGGAGGCCGAGGCAGGCGGATCGCTTGAGTCTAGGAGCTCAAGACCAGCCAAGACAACATGGCAAATTCTATCTCTACAAAAATTACAAATATTAGCCAAGTGTGGTGGTGCATGCCTGTAGTCCCAGCTACTCAGGAGGCTGAGGTGGGAGGATTATTTCAGACTGGGAGGTAGAGGCTGCAATGAGCCATGATCATGCCGCTGTGCTCCAGCCTCAGAGACAGAGCAGTACCACAAAAAAAATTAGAAGATTTCTTTATCTAACAAATATAAGTTGTATATTTGCATAGTTGATTGCATTCATGAAGTCAAAGTATTTTTTATTCATTAAATCTAAAGGAAGTTGGAGCTCTCTGCTTTTGATAACATGAAGTAACAAGTACTGTACTTATCCTCCATCTAAAATGATGATTAAAGAAAATTTGTGTGTTTATCTCTTAAGACACAGAGCAAGCATTTGATAAAATCCAACATCCATTCCTCATAAAATCACTCCTGAAACTGGTGATAGAGAGGAACTTCCTCAACCTGATAATTAGCATCTATAAAGAACCGATGGTAACATTATATTTACTGGTGAAAGTCTGAATGCTTTCTCACTAAGATCAGGAATAAGATAAGGATGTCTGCTTTCACTGCTTCTGTTCGATATTGTACTGGAGGTTCTAGCCAGTGCAATTAGTCAATAAAAAGAAGTGCTTCTAGATTAAAAAACAGAAGTAAATCAATCATTATACTTCAGTGATATGATCATCTATGTATGTTATTCTGTAGAATCTACAAAAAGGTACTAGAATGAATAATTGAGTTTAGCACACTTGCAGAATATAAGATCAGTACTTAAAACTCGTGTAGTTTTCTGTACTAGGAAAAAAAATTTGAAATTGAAATTTAATAAAAGAAATATTTTCTATCACATAAATAATACAGTATACTTGGGGACAAATCTGACAAAAGATCTGGAAGACCTTTACTCTGAAAACTGTAAAAACATTACTAAATGAAAATAAGTGAACAGTTTCCTTACGTATGATACTAATAGAATGATCCATTTAAAATTGATTAATTGTATATCAGCTATATACATAAGCCAAAATTTAAACAGTTGTACACCTTAAATATGTACAGTTAATTTTGTTAATTCAAATCCCCATACTACTGTTAAAACATATTAGAAAACAAACTAAAGGAATTTATGTTCATATGACAGTAAATGAGTTGTCTGAACTCACCTCAATTTTTTTTTTATTATACTTTAAGTTCTAGGGTACATATGCACAACGTGCAGGTTTGTTACATATGTATACGTGTGCCATGTTGGTGTGCTGCACCCATTAACTCGTCATTTACATTTTTAATCCTAGGATGAATCCATCTCTAAAAAGTACTGAACATCTCTGAAAAGTTATGAATGTGGTATAGATGTTCTCCCATAACCTCCTATGTATCAATTATTGTTATCAGGAAATCAGAACTAGCTTAAATAGTCATAACATTGACCATCTGCTTTCCTTGTTAAATACATTTGACTACTAACTTAATGTTTTCAGTTAGCCCTCTAAAATTTGAGAAAGCAGCATCTTTTTTACCTTTTTGCCTGATTTCTACAGGCTTTCTGATATATAGCTGGCCCTCTAGATCATTGTTGGCAGTTTGAAATATGTGTGATTTGATGCAGAGTATTTTAAATATTATAAATATTTGATCAATATTTTTATCATATAAATTTTTTTCTTTAAAAAAATAAAATTTAGAGATGGGGTCACATTATGTTGCCCAGGTCTTGAACTCCTGGGCTCAAGTGATCCTTCTGCCTTGGCCTCCAAAAGTGCTGGGATTACTGATGTGAGCCACTGCACCCAGGCTAGAGTATACTTTTGATAAATATTTTTGATTACGTAGAATAATTTTACGGTGAGTTCAAAGTAGGCTTTTGCAGTTTTTATTGTGGACATGTATTTATACTGTTAGTTTCAGGATATCTTTACTTATCATCTCCTGTGTTTTTAATCATGATGTTTCCTTTTCAAACAACACATTATGATGAAAGATCAGTTTTCAATGAAATCATTTATAAGTATGTACTAGCTACTGCAACTTCGGGGTTTGGAAAGGAAAAATTAAAGTGCGCTATGTTTACATGTTGGAAACATGTTGGAGAAATCAGTCTAGGATTGGAAAAAGATGGGAAGATTTAGGAGTAATTGTTAATGGGTACAAGGTTTCTTCTTAGGGTGAGAAAATGTTCTAAAATTATTTGTGGTGATGGTTACACAAGTATGATTATACCTAAAATCATTGAATCATACACTTTAACTGGATAAATAAAAGGCTTTTATATTGGAAAGGAAATAGTAAAACTGTATCTGTTTGTAGATAACATGATCTTATATACAAAACAAAAATCTTAAGGAGTCCCCTAAAAATCTATTAGAGGTAATAAATGACTTTTCACACTACCCACATAGGGGTCCATATGGCGTTCTGGATTCCCATCATAGCTTAAAGCGAAACTTTTCACCATGTCCATAGCCCTTGATGTCCTGCAAATGAAGGAGGAGGATGTCCTGCAAATGAAGGAGGAGGATGTCCTTAAGTTCCTTGCAGCAGGAACCCGCTTAGATGGTACCAATCTTGGCTTCCAGATGGAACAGTACATCTCTATGAGGAAAAGTGATGGCATCCACATCATAAATCTGAAGAGGACCTGGGAGAAGCTTTTGCTGGCAGCTCGTGCCATTGTTGCCAATGAAAACCCTGCTGATGTCAGTGTTAGATTATCCTCCAGGAATATTGGCCAGAGGGCTGTGCTGAAGTTTGCTGCTGCCACTGGAGCCACTCCAGTTGCTGGCCACTTCAGTCCTGGAATCTTCACTAACCACATCCAGGCAGCCTTCCAGGAGCCACGGCTTCTTGTGGTTACTAACCCCAGGGCTGACAACCAACCTGTCACAGAGGCATGTTATGTTAACCTATCTACCACTGATTTGTGTAACACAGATTCTTCTCTGCACTATGTGGACATTGCCATTCCATGCAACAAAAAGGGAGCTCACTCAGTGGGTTTGCTGTGGTGGATGCCGGCCCAGGAAGTTTTGCGTGTGTGTGGCACCATTTCCCATGAATACCCATGGAAGTTCATGCCTGATCTCTACAGAGATCCTGAAGAGATTGAAAAAGCAGAGCAGACTGCTGCTGAAAAGGCTGTGACCAAGGAGGAATATCAGGGTGAATGGACTGCTCCAGCTCCTGAGTTAACTGCTACTCAGCCTGAGGTTGCAGACTGGTCTGAAGGTGTGCAGGTACCCTCTGCACCTATTCATCAGTTCCCTACTGAAGACTGGAGCGCTCAGCCTGCCACAGAAGGCTGGTCCGCAGCTCCCAGTGCTCAGGCCATTGAATGGGTAGGAGCAACCACTGGAAGATCTTAAGCTGTTCTTGCACACACTCTTAAGCAACATGGAAATAAGGTTGATGGAAAATAAACATCAATTTCTTAAAAAAAAAAAAAAAAGTAATGCATTCAGCTAGGTTGACAGATAAAATACCAAGATAGAAAAATCTATTGGATTTTTGCACAGTATTAGTGGACAAACTGAAAATGAAGTTATGAAACAATTTCATTTAAATATCTTAAAAAGAAATAATGTACTTAAGTATAAATATAACAACAGAAGTGTGAAACTTATACTCTAAAAACTACATAACATTGAAAGACATTAAAGGAAACTAAATGGAAAGACATTAAATGTTGATATTTTGAAAAGATTTAATATTTTTAGGATGGCAGTTCTCCCCCAAATTGATCTAAAATAAATTTAAATTTCCTACTAAAATCACAGCTAAATTCTTTGCACAATTTGACAAGCTGCTCTTAAAATTAATATGGAAATTCAAGGGACCCAGTATAGCCAAAACAATCTTGAAAAAGACCAAAATTGTGTTTCTCACTTCCCAATTAAAAAACGTATGATGAAGCCATACCAATATGTAGTTCTGGCATAATGATAGACATATCTATTAATGGTATAGAGTTGAGAACAGAAATAAACCTTCACATTTATGGTAACCTGTCTTTCTATAAGTGTGCCATGGCATAAAGAATAGTCTTTTCAATGAAGGGTACTAGAACACCTGCCCATCCATATGGAAAAAAAAAGCTGGACCCCTATCTCATATGTAAAAATTAACTCAAAATGAATTAAAGACTTAGCTGTAAGAATTAAAACTGCAACCATTAGAAGAAGACATAGGGATACATGTTTATGACCGGGCATAGGATATGGGCTGGCAAATGATTCTTAGATAGGTCACGTGCATGAGCAATAAGAGAAAAGAATACATAAATTAGATTTTGTCAAGTTTTGAAACTTTTGTGCTTTAAAGGACACCATCAAGAAAGTGAAAAGACAACCCACAGAATGGGAGAAAATTGCACTCACATATCTATTTTATCTTGAATATATAAAGAATTATTTAGACTCAATAATGATGAAAAGACAAATAACTCACTTTTAAAAATGGGCAGAATATCTGAATAGGCAGTTTCCCAAAAGAAGATATACAAATGACTAAGGAGCACATGAAAAGATTCTCAACATAATTAGCTGTCAGGTATATTCAAATCAAAACTACAATGAGATACCGTTTCACTCCTGCTAGGATGATGGGTATAATCAGAAGAACAGAAGTTTTGGCAAGGATTTGGAGAACCCTAAGCCATTGCTGGTGGGAATGTTAAATGGTGTAGCCTTTTTGGAAAAGAATCTTGCAGTTCCTTAAATATTTGAACATAGAGTTGCCACACACAGCAATTCTGCTCCTAGGTGTATACACAAGACAAATGAAAATGTTTGCACAAATGTTTATAGCAGCATTATGTATAATAGCCTAAACATGGAAACACCCCAAGTGTGTTACTGATAAGTGAATAAACAAAATTTGGAATATCCATACAATAGAATATCATTTGACAAAAAAGAAATGCAGTACTGATACATGTTACAACATGGGCAAATTTTGAAAATATCATGCTAAATGAAAGAAGCCAGTCATAAAAGCACACATGTTTTATGATTCCGTGTCTGAGAAGTGGCCTGAACATGCATATTTTTAGAGACAGAAAATAAATTAGTGTTTGCCTAGGACTTGTGAGGATGAGATTTTTGCAAGTGGTGACTCAAGAGTGAACTGGTTTTTTTGGGGGGTGTTGAGAAATGTTCTAAAATTGATGTGGTGATGCCTGTACAACTCGAAATATACTAAACACCATTGAACTGTACACTTCAAAGGGATGAATTGTGTAGTATGTGAATTATGTCTTAAGAAGCTGATAAATAAAGAATATATATTTATTGGGCTGTTTTACCCTTCAAATGGATTTTACCCATATGTGATATTTTTTACCATGATACATTGATCATTTGCAGAGTTTTTGTTCCTTAAATTATGCATATCCTACAAATGTAAAATGTCTCATTTGTCAATATCACTATTAAACAAGAAAATAGTCTGTAAGCATTGGGAACCTCGCTGGTGGATATGAGTTTTACATGATCATAATTTTCAGAGACCCAGGGAGAATTATCTCCCATTTTTTGGTTAGTTTTCCGTACACTGTTGCCTAATTGTCTTTCTGAAATACAGATTTATCATGTAACTCTCTGATCCCAGCCTGCTTGTCATTGTCATGCACAGTTAGTCCTTCATAAAATATGCTATTATGGGCCCCATCTTTTACTAAATTCAGAGAAAGCCTGCCCATGTCTCTGTATTTTTGTGCGTATGAGTTTATTTATAATTCACTTTAGTTTATTTTTCTTGTTTTCAGCCTGGTAAAATCTTCAAACTTCAAGAACCAGCGTATCTGTCATTTACTCTTTGACCTTTTCATTATGCCCCATATTCTTTGGTGCTTTCCAAGTATTTTGTTCGTACCTTTGTTATAACACTGCTTGTATTTTGTTTTCATGCTTACTCCTCCACTAGAGCTATGAACTTCTGATGACTTTATTTGCGCTTGTATTGCCTCACAGAGTACTTTTAGATATAATAAGAGTCTCTTGGATTAACAAGTGCCTAATTTTATTGTGGGTGCTCAGTAATACTTTTATTTTGATGATGTTATAATTGAGGTATGAATCAGACTCCCCTTACACTTTCTGCATATAAATCTTTTTTGTGAAAGAACTCTATTCATTTTAATTATCCTATGAAAACTTAATTACCAATATTGTTTGTAGATGTCTGTTGCCAGATTTTTTAAAAAAAGATGCATTACCATCCCCATAAGTGATATTGCCTTTTGCTTTTTCTCATATAAAAATGACAACTTTGCCTGTCAAATTATAAAAAATGGTTTCTCATTATTTTCATTTGCCGTTCTTCTAGAGAATATATATGTTTCTTGTTTGTTAGTGTTTATATCATTGCTCTTTTAAAAAAATTGTAGTTATGCAAGAATGGATGTAGGCAGGCTAAAATATGGACTCTCCAGAAATGTGGATATGCCTGGGAAATTGTCATTTGATTCACCTGTCTTCACAATGAGCATTTTGGACCATGATACAGTTGTTAGTACCTATTTACACTTGGCCGATAGGCAGGCTCAAAGCTGTAGTATCTTATTAGAGTCAGACAAGGGAGGCCGGAATGGCAAGAGCCATTTTTTTTTTTTAACTGCTGGTGCTACCTCAGCAGCACCAGGAGAGTGGCAAAGGGGGCTTCTTCAAAGATTTTATGGTATCTTTACTTTATGTCAAAGTCTAAGCTATCAGTATTTTTCTTTGTAGTATTCAGTGTATGTGCCATAGTTAGGAAATCTTTCTCTGTCTGTTATTAAAATAAGTGGTTGAATTTTCTAATACCTTTATGAGTTCTGTTTTGTTTTGGTTTGTTTTTTCATTTGTATGGGGTTTTTGTTGCTGCTGCTGTTGTTGTTTTTACACTTTTGGTTAAAGATTTTTTGGTTAAAGTGTGACAGGAGAAACTTTCCTTTTTTTCCCTGAAAATGGTTCTATCTTTATGCCAGCTTAATGTACTAATTCCCTCATTTCCATCTAAAAAAAAAAATCACCTTTATTTTAATACTATATTGCCATAGGTACTTGGTCTATGTTTGAACTCTGTATTTTTCTGTTGAGCTCTGTATTAGTACCAAATTGTTTCAAAAGCAATTAACAAATAATACATTTTAATACCTCGTAGTAAACTGCTCCCTTAATCCCATCATTATTACTCATCTATTTCAGAAGGTAGGTACTTTCTTATTATTCTTCCACGTGAATTTAAAAATCATATTGATATTTTCAAAATATCACACTGGACTTTGTAGGTTCTTTGGGAAGAAATAACATTTTTAGGGTAAATTTTTGTTTTTTTATCATATATCAAGATTTTCATTTTAATTTTTTATTTCATAGCTTTTTATTATCAAAAATTTCAAACATACACAGAGAAAGAATAATAGGTATAATGAACTCCATGTTCCTGTTATCCAGCTATCTAGCTTCAGTAATTATTTACAGTTGCCAAACTTGATTTAAGTACCTCTCCTATGAAACAAGTCCCAGATGTCTTATTTCATCCTCAAATTCTCCAGATTGCCTGAGAATTGTCTCAAAAAACCCACCATCATATTATTCACAGTGGTAATTTCTTAATGTTATTAATATCCAATTTAGATTCGCATTTCATAATTGTTTCAAAAATAGCCTTTTACAGTAAGTTTATTTGAATCAACATCTAAAGAAGAATTCAAACACTGTATTTGTACCTTGTGTCTTTTATTATTACTGCTTTTCTCTCTCTCTTGTCTTTCTGTCTGTCTCTCTCTCTTTCTTTCTTTCTTTCTTTCTTTCTTTCTTTCTTTCTTTCTTTCTTTCTTTCTTTTTTTCTTTACTGTCATTTGCCTTTTTTAAAAAGAGAAATTGGGTTATTTTTCCAGGAGAATATCTCACTTTCTGAATTTGGTTAGTTGCTTCATATTTAGTATTTGCTGAGAGTTAGAGCTAGAGATTTGGTTAAACTCAGGTTTCATTTCTTTAGGCAAGAATCTTCTTAAAATGATGCTCCATCATTTCCATTTTATCTCATCTGTGAGCCATCACATCTGGTTGTTCCGCTTTTAATGATGCTGAGATTAATCACTATGTTCAGGTGTAGGTTTTTTGTTTGTTTGGTTTTCTTTCTGCTATTGTATATAGAACATTTTCCTTACTGTTTTTCTAATACGTTATTGTTGGTATCTGAGAAGATTTTTAAAGCATATGTTTTAGTAACTGGACATCTGACCAAACTCTCCTTACTGCGTCAACTTAAAAATCATGAGATCTGTAAATCTGGAAAAGAGAACTTTATTTCTGAGAAGGGTTACAACCTGTAGGCTGGGAAGCGCAGCCTCTGGATTAGATCAAAAGTAGGCATTTCAAAGAGGATGGGTGAGAGAGGAGTTTTATACTAACTGGGTTAGCTGCATACATGTTTAACAGGTTATAGGAGGAGCTATGAATATTCATGAAAGGGGTCACATGTATGCATGATGAGCAAACATAACATGTTACGTGTGTCCCATGTTCGCTTTGGAATGGAGACTTAACATTAAAAATGCAGTAAAATCAGACTCTATACATCAAAGGTGAGACTTAGGACTCAAAGGTACTTGGTGCACATTCTCTGTAAACTGACCAGTCCATGGTCAATTGTCACTTATCAGGAAGGATTGCTTTGTAAGTTGGTCAGCAGTCATGTCGAAACCATGAAAAGGGAGGGAAATCTGGCCACAACATCAGGCAGTTGGTCAGTGGAAGAATTTTCCATTCTTTCTTTTCCAGGGCTGGTTTTTGTTTAACTCGTAGGAAAAAAAAGTCTAATGACAGGTAGTGAGGAAGAGGAAGACGTGACGAACCTCCTATCTCATCAAGGCCAGGAAACTTCATTTTTAAAGTTTTTCTGGGACCTCCTTAGCCCATAGACGTCTATTCAGTAGGTTGGGGCACTTAGGAGTTTACTTTATCTCACAACTGTTTCTAATAATTTTTTTACTGATCCTCTTCAGTGACTAGTATAGAATAGTCACACTTGAGCTTTGGGGTTGAAGTGTCTCAAATCAAACCCCAGGATGGTTATTTAGTCTTTCTGTGCCTCAGTTTTTGTTTTTGTTTTTTTTCAATCTATGAAATGGAGATCATGTATCTACCTCATAGGTTTATAATGAAGATTGAATCACTTCCCATAATAATCAGAAACTACATATTTGGGCTGGGAGCAGTGGCTCACACCTGTAATCCCAGCACTATGAGAGACTGAGGTGGGAGGATCCCTTGAGCCCAGGAGTTTGAGGTTACAGTGAGCTATGACCATGCCAATGCACTCGAGTGAGATTCTGCTTCAAAAAAAGAAAGCAGATGTTTATTTTTTAATTTTTCCATATCTTTTGCAGATTGTGATATTGTGCTTTACCTTTTTTCATATTTTAGGCCTTTATTTAATTTTAGGATGTAATTATATAGGCCATAACAGTTTAAAAATAGCA